CTCTGGGTTCTGAATTGATCTTGCTTCAGGAAATACAGGGGCTTCCCTAATGACAGCAGGTAAAAAATCTGCCTGCAACACAAGAGACACAGGAAATGTGGGATCAGTCCCTGAGCTGGGAATGATCCCCTGGAGGAGAAAGTAGAGGAGGAAATGGCTTGATTCTTGCCTGGAAAATCCCATGGACAGAGGAACTTGGCAGGCTACAGTCCACTGGTTTGTGAAAGAGTTGGACATGACTTAGCGACTAAACAACAAATAACAATAATGAGACTTGAAGGTATAGCTTTTCTAGAATGATATCTTTGTTACTGAAGATCTTTTTGAAGTAGATCTACCTTTTGAAGTAGGTAACAATTTTAAAAATATGAGTTTGGAAATAGCAAACTTTGCTTGCTTAGTTGCTCAGTTGTGTCCAACTCTTTGCGACCCCATGGACTGTAGACCGCCAGGCTCCTCTGTCCATGGGATTCTTCAGGCAAGAATACTGGAGTGGGTTGCTATGCCCTCCTCCAGGGGATCTTCCTGACCCAGGGATTGAACCTGGGTCTCCGGCATATCAGGCGAATTCTTTACTGTCTGAGCCTTAAGGGAAGCCCTAGCAAACTTTAGGAAGTAAAACAGAACACAGAAAATAAGAAAACAGTAACAACTTCAGAAATAACATCACACACACACACATACACACACACACACACACACACACACACTGGTAATCAAGGATTTAAGCTTAATCATGAAAAAAAAACATATCTCTGAAACAGTGGTCCATTGCCCTCTGAGGCTCATCTATGCACCCTATGTCCGGAAAATCTAGTTCTTAAGATTACCCATTGGTATGTTATTTTGAAAGTATAATTTCATTTCCTGTATGTTTTCTTTCATAGCCATTGAAGACTGTTGGCTTCTTGATGGAAGCAGATCTTTTATTCCCTTTTTATTTCCCACATGGATGTAAAGTGCTTCCCAGGCAGTAGATATTCAGTAGTTATTGTTGATTAGTGAATCAGCAGTGAGTGAGTGGTCCTTAGGTGAGTGTGCTTAAATCACTGTGCCCTGTCCATACTGATTGAGAGGATCATTTCTGGGGACCAGCTTCTCCTATAGGCTAACTGATGCTTGTAAACCCAGGCGTGTCAACAGAATAAGTGTCCATCTTGCAGTAAGGCCAGATCCTGAGATGAATCCATCCTACAATGCCCTTCTTCAAGCAGCAGAAACCACATTTGTGAGGGCTTTCATGCTTTATTGTTGATATTTGTGTACTTCAGGCATCTTTTCCAACTGTTGGGTAATGTACTTTCCAAATTAATTTTTCAATTACAATAGTAGTACTTACAGTAAAAGTTTCAAATTACATAGCATAGCAAAAAGTAAAAGAATCCCCTCTTTCCCACACCCTTGCCCTACTCCTCAGAAGTAACAACTGTTAATGATTTTCAATTCAAATATTTGCTGTACATGTACACATCAATATATACATTAATAATACGTGCACATCTAACTGATTAGAAACAACAAGTCAATCAAATAAGTAGTTTATTAAGTGTATGAAAGGACTTCCCTGGTGGTGCAGTGGTTAAGAATCCACCTGCCAATGCGGGGTACACGGGTTCAATCCCTCGTCCAGGAAGATGCCACATGCTTCTGGGCAACTAAGCCCATGCACCACATACTGAGCCAGTGCTCTAGCGCCCAAGAACTACAACTGCTGAGCCCATGTGCCTGGAGTCTGTGCGTAAAAATAAGAGAAGCCACTGCGATGAGAAGCCTGAACGCCACACTACAGGGTAGCATCCTCTCATGGGCACTGGAGGAAACCCTCACACAGCAATGGAGACCCAGCGCAGCCAAAATAAATAAAAATAAATAAACTTAAAAATGTTTTCAAATGTATTAAAAATGCTTTTTAGCTTATTGTTTGAAGACATCTTTCATTTATGTGTTTAAGCTTCTTAGTCTTTTCTTTTATGCCTTGTGGATACTGTATCATGTCTTTTAGGTGATGAACATTTTTAAACTGTGAGATATTAATGCCTTAGTCAGAATTTTCTATTTATTTCCAGTCACTGAATTTCTTTAATAAATAAGGGGAAAAGAAGAATTATTTTTTTTAAATCCAGGTATTCTGGAAAACAGTTTCCAAAATTTCTCTTGTGCTGCTTGGTAATCTAATAGCTCATTTATTAGTTAAAATGGGTATGAGCAATGCCACATTCTAGGAAAGGTAGAAAAAGAGTGAAAGACAAATAAGAACAAAGAACAAGGGCAAAAAAAAATAGAAAACATTCACAAATAACCATCCTGTGGTTATTTAAGAGACTAATTTTATTCTAAGGAAATACACTATAAAGTGTATTATTAACCCAATAATTTCCCTGTGTGGGATCATGTATTATATTTAACTGAGAAATATAAGTCAATTTCCAAATGTCTGAGAAGAATTCCATGGAAATTCTTTTGTACTCACTTTTATTTTAGCTCATCTTTGTCAGTAACTTGGTATCTGATATTTGACCTTAACTCCTTATAGACTGAAATCTAATGTTTGTGTCCATTTTAAACTGATGTGTTTGATAACATAATCATCTTTTTATTCCGCAGGTCACTTAGAAACTTGGAATTGCACCAGGGGAGTCCATAATAAAGTCTCTGGAAGAAGGGAACCATCATCTTAAAATTGCGGCTCTTGCCAGCATATTTTTCTTTGCAATTAGTTTTTGATGCAAAGTGCATTGAAGTGTTATTTTGGATGTTGAGCTTTCTTCTCTTAGAATCAAGTCGTTTGGCCATATTGTGGTTAATAGCAAGTATGTATCTTATGCTACTTCATTGTAACTGGAAGATGGTTGGCTGGAGAATTTTGAGAATATATACTATTTCTGTGTTAGAGTAGGCTGACTTTGCAGCACATTTTACAAATGTTTAGCACTGAACATTGCAGAATAGTGGAGTAGGAGGCAGTTTTCCAAAGTTTCAATCCAAAATAAAATTAACCTTCATCAATTGCCTTTACTATGTACTCACATGGAAACATTTAAACTCATTTCAATAAAGCCTTAAAAGAAAAATGAATACAGGCTTTCTTTCAATAGAACACAAGGACTACTAGAAAAAGAAAAGGTTCTAGTCTTTCAACACCTTTTCAAAATGCTGATTATAAATTGAGTTTATAAATACATGTAGTAGCAATTTGACCAAATGAACGTGAGTGTAAGTTATACCATCTTAAGGTTTTGTTAACACAGAACAGTTTTATTTAACATGTGCCAAAACTGGCATGTGGTTTGTTGACTTTTGTTCAAAGTGGTGGTGTATTTCAATGTGGCATTGTGGCTGGAAGGACCAAGGCAGCCTTTCCCACACTGGTTCAATTACGGCTGTAACTAAGGTTGACCAGTAGACCTGCTGCATTAGGTCTGTCCTCTGGTCCTTGTGTATACTGTTGAATTTTACAAGTCTCTGCCCAGCTTTTTTTTGGGGGGGGGAGGGTTGTCTAGCTCTGCCACATGCAAGGGAATGTTTTTCTTTGTAGCTATTGATGCTTCTCCTCTTAACATCTGAAACTTTGCTTTACATGCTACCTGAAGACTTTCACAAATGGCATTGTGGACATATTGCCAGCTGTAGTTGGATGTCCTTTTAGATTCCCTCCACAGGTCGAGAACCAGGACCCATGTTTGATTTCATCTTTCTGCATATGTATGGGATGACAAAGCGTGGGGGATTGAGTCATATTCTGCCCCTGCATATCTGAAGAGTATTTCTAAAGCAATAGGTTGGCAGCAAGGGAGAAAGGTTCTCAAACAGTGGCCTGGGGCCTTCCTATGAAACAGTAATGCTTCAGGGAGGGGAAACTCAGGCAAATCATGCTGCTAGTTTTGAAAACAAAAAGCAACCCTAGAAGATGGGTTGAGGGGAGAAGGGAATGGGAGGATCCTGGATATGTTCCTGCTCTTGGAGCGTCTGAGAGTCTTGGGAGACCTTTGTTATTCAAGCCCCAAGGGAGATGTTAAAACTCAGGACAAAATGTGGCTATTGACAAAATTTGCTGCCTTTCACTAGCACCTAAAAGTTAAACATTTCCAGGTTGATTTTATTTTTTCACCTCATTAAAGTCATATATATGTACATAATAGAAAGTTAAAGAAACCAAAAACAAAAAAGGAGAAATAAAAACGTAAAATTAAGACCTATAACCTTGTCATTTATTGATATCTATGATTGACACTTAGGTTTCTACATGCACTAATTGTTTCTTCCCTACATAAACATATGCAAAATGTTTTTATCGAAACCACATAATATTGACAAGGTGATTTAGGAAATGTGGGCTTCCCAGGTTGTGTTAGCAGTAGAGACGGGGGTTCAGTCTCTAGGTCTGGAAGATACACTGGAAGAGGGCATGGCAACCCACTCCAGTGTTCTTGCCTGGAGCACCCCATGGCCAGAGGAACCTGGCGGGTTACAGTCCACGGGGCCACTAAGAGTCGGACACGACTGAAGCAACTTAGCACACAAGTTAGGAAATGTAATTGCTTTTCAGTGAGAGGATTTTATTTTGGTTGCCCTTAGCACGTCAAATCCTTCTGGAACTCATAGGATTGTCACGCGTCACCCCAGGGGGAACCACCAACCTCATCTCAGCAGTTTCCATAGGCAAACTGCACACAATACCGGGCACGTAATGTATCTCTAGAGCCCTGCATAGGCTGAGAAGTGCATCCTTTGTCTCCAAGGTCATAATGGCTCTGCTGACTTCAATTCCTTTCACTGGCACGAGTGAGGACAACCTGAAAAGGCCAGAGAGAATGAGAGCCCCCTGCCCCATGATCCCAAATGAAAAAACAAGGGAGAGAGAGGACACGGAAATCCCCTCACACGCCACCCCAGGCCCCTTTTGTGTTGTTCTTGCCAACGCAGCAGCCCTCCTGCTATATATATCAGTTGCCACGTTTGTCCCCATCAGGCTGGACGCTGATCACCCGCCATCAACAACCATGGGGAAGGTGAGCCAACTGAGGTGCCACACCAGGCCTGCTGCATGTCGATGGTGTGTGCGTGTGGAGGGGGGGGATGTATCTCCCAGCTGACTTCCTCCCGTCACTTTATGTTCCACCTGCACGCAGATCACCTTCTACGAGGACCGGGGCTTCCAGGGCCGCCGCTACGAGTGCAGCAGCGACCACCCCAACCTGCAGCCCTACTTCAGCCGCTGCAACTCCATCCGCGTGGACAGCGGCTGCTGGATGCTGTATGAGCGCCCCAACTACCAGGGCCACCAGTACTTCCTGCGGCGTGGCGACTACCCCGACTACCAGCAGTGGATGGGCCTCAGCGACTCCATCCGCTCCTGCCGCCTCATCCCCCACGTGAGTCTTGCTTCAACCCGACTGGTGTGACAGCATCACTGACCCAGGGCCATGAATTCCTGTAAAAAGTCAGTTTGTTTCAACTCAGGACTAGTGTTCACAGTAAAATAACAAAGCCCAACTCTCAAGCATTGAAAAAAAAAAATAGATTGCCTTTTTACTATGTTCTCATACGGAAACATTTAAACTCATTTAGCATTAAAAATGGGTAAATTGTTTTTAGGCATAAGAAATCACAATGATATAGCTTCTAAAACTGAATCTGGTAGCATCTAGCTGATCCCTAATTTCTAAATAAAAATCACGTATTCAGTAAAGAAAAAAATCTGTCAGTATATCATTATTTCTTAACGATAAAAATACTGACAGATTATGGGAGAACAACATAGGTATAACATATTCTGACTGTATTGGTGATTATTTTCAATACCTTCTCTATGACATGCAGATCTAGAAACTAGAACAATATATGTCTGCTTGCAAGTGGCTCCCTGTATTTAGCAGATATTATCAACTAGTTTCTTACAAGGGTCAGAAAAATCATTCATTAAGATTTCATGGGATGTAGTCCTCACCAAAATCCTGCTTAATGTCTATTAATCATGTGTAGTTTGTATTTGGACTTTCTGAATCACCAAATTATGTGTCATGGCAAGCAGATTCAGGAAGTGAAACCAAAATTTGGCTAGAGAAATTTGCAGATGCAAAAAGAGGTACAAGATAAGAACTTCTTTGAGGCCAGAAACTCAAATAGTACAAATGACTTGGCAAAATCTCAGACATGTGGACTAAAAGTAAATGTGAATTGTTGTCAGTGGTGAGTGCAAAAGTGACTTAAAAACATGCTTGATAGGATTCAGGGATACACAGTCATAATGGAAGAGGGAGTTAAATCATCTCTAAAGGCTCAACTAAATATAGTTACAATAGTTGTTTTTTGCTTTGCTTTCAAGGAATCCCTTTTATTGACTTTATTTCAATGTTTATTTCTTCCATAAGATAGATCACTGGTCAGGTAAGTTTTATTTTAATACCCTCCCTGAAGAAGGAAATGGCAACCCACTCCAGTATTCTGGCCTGGAAAATCCCATGGACAGAGGAGCCTGGCAGGCTTCAGTCCATGGGGTTGCAAAGAGTCAGACATGACTTAGCGACTAAACAACAACAACAATTTGTTAAACCAGCCGTGTAAGGAGAGGATACATGGGTGACAGGAGGGCTTGAAAACCATGCTTCATGAAGCTGCAGGATGACTGAGTCACTGTTACTGACATCAAGGATGCCCACAACTTATTTTTCATCTTTGGTTTATTGTCACAACAGACCAGCTCTCACAGGATAAGGCTGTACGAGAGAGATGACTACGGAGGCCTGGTGTCCGAGCTCACGGAAGACTGCTCCTGCATCCACGACCGCTTCCGGCTCAATGAGCTCCACTCCCTCCACGTGCTGGAGGGCTGCTGGGTCCTCTACGAGATGCCCAACTACCGGGGGCGGCAGTACCTGCTGCGGCCGGGGGATTACAGGCGCTACCACGACTGGGGGGCCGTGGATGCCCGAGTGGGCTCTCTGAGACGGGCCATCGATTTGTACTAGGCTGTGCTTTTCTTAGGATCCACATAGAAATGCACTATATAGACAAATTGTGTTATAGGCACATAAGTAATTCTTGTTCATCTTAAAGAATAACTGAATTTTAATAAATGGTGATCCTTGGCAACTTATCTGGCCCTGAAATCAAGTGTTTTGGACGTCTGCTGACTTCCTGGATGGCAGCAGTATTTTTGAAGTCCCCATTCACATCATGGGAAGGAGGCAGAAACACTGTCTCTGCCTCTACAACCCACAGTATGAGGGAGAGAGAAAAGAAACATAATGAAAACTATTAAATCCATACCCAGGGGAAGATATGGAACCAACTGCAGCTGGGACACAAAAGGACCACTGGAGAGGACTACATTATTCTGGACCACAGTGTGAACTTTTATCAAAATTCAGTTATGGAATACTCAGCTACGCAGAGTGAAGTAAGACAGTGTGCACAATGCACACCTCTGGGATCTCCTTCCCCTAGAGCTGCTCACCCAGAATGCTAATTGTTTTTATAAATTTACATGAGCAAAAATAGTGCTCTGTCCCAGTTAAATTCCTCATAGAAATTGAAAAGCCCATTTAAAAATTCATATGGAGTTTACAAGGGACCCAGAACAGCCAAAACAATCTTGAAAAAAGAAGAGCAAGCTAGGAGGACTCATCCTTTGCATTTTCAAAGCTTACCACAAAGCAACAGTAAACAGCTTAGTGGGATACTGGCATAAAGTAGACATGGCGATGACAGGAATACACTTGGGAGTCCAGAAATAATCCTGTATGTTTATGTTCAACTGATTTTTGACAAGGATGCTAAGACCCCTCAATGGGGAAAGAATGGCTTTTCAACAAATAGTGCTAGGACTACTGGATATCCAAATAAATGCAAAATAATAAAGTTAGACCCACATTTCATACCACATATAAAAATTAATTCAAAATAAATCAAAGAACTCAAACTATGAAACCCTTGGAAGAAAATAGAAACATACATCTTCATGATCTTTTATTAGGCATTGACATCTTAAAGATGACACCAAAAGCACAAGCAACAACAATAAAAATAATAAATGGGACATCATCAAAACTAAAATATTTTACGCTTCCCAGGTGGTGCTAGTGGTAATGAACCANCTCCTCTAACCAGGGGATTTCCCAGGCAAGAATACTGAAATGGGTTGCCATTTCCTTCTCCAGGGGATCTTCCCGACCCCGGGATCAAACTTGCATCTCTTGCGTTGGCAGGGAGTTCTGTACCACTGAGCCACCACAGAAGCCCATTATTAGTCATTAGGGAAATTCAAATAAAAACCACAGTGAGATAGCACCTAATACCCACTAGGATGGCTGGACAGCATCGTGGATGCAATGAACATCAACTTGGGCAAATTCTGGGAAATGGTGATGGACAGGGAGGCCTGGGGAGCTGCAGTCCATGGGGTCACAAAGAGTTCGACTCGACTGGGTGGCTGAAGATCAACAACAACAACAACCCACTAAGGTGGTTATATTAATTTTAGAGAAAAATAAAACAGAAAATAACAAGTGCTAGTAAGGTTGTGGAGAGATTAGAACTCTCATAAATCTCTGTAATGTAAATTAATGTAAATACTTGTAAGTAATATAAAGTAATGTAAAAAGATGCAGCCACTATGGAAAAACAGTTTGATAGTTCCTCAGATAGTTAAACTGAGTTATCATATGACTCAGCAATTCCACTCTGACATATATACTCAAAAGAATTGAAAAGAAATGTTCCAACAAAAACATATTCATGAATGTTCACAGCAGCACTATTCACAATAGCCAGAGGTGAAAACAACCCAAATGTTTATCAGTGGATGATTGCATAAATGAAATGTGATTTATCCAAACAATGGAATGTTCTTTGGCTGTAAAAAGGAATGAAGTCCGGATACATATTACATCATGGATGAACCTTGAAAATATGTCGAGTGAAAAAAGCTGGTCACATAAGACCATATATTATAGGATTCATTTATATGAAACATCCAGAATAGGCAAATCTAGAGACAGTAAGTATATTCATGGTTGTTTAGGACTGGGGGATAGGTCAATAAAGGAATGATAACTAAAGGATTCAGAACTTTTCACTGTGGAATGAGCATTTTCTAAAATTGACTATGGTGACAGTTGCACATAACTGTGAATATACTAAACCACTGAATAATACACTTTTAATGGGCAAATATTAATGTGAATTACATCTCAATGAAGCTGTTTAAAAATAATAAAGTCTGAACAGAACCTTAAGTAATAAAGAATCTTTTAAAATAAGATTCCTTCTTGCTGAAGGAACATATGCTATGAATTATAAGCATGAAAATACACATATTATTAAACTGCTGTGGCTCTTACCAATACCAAATATGCAGGAGATTTGTGGTTTTGCTGCTGGCTTAGTTAAACCACACTTAAACTTTGTGTTGTCCTCTGTTGAGTGACCAGTGAATTACAAGCTCTGTTTTTTTGTTTTTTTTTTTAAAGAAAAACCCAGGTGACACGTCTCACTGAAGATGATTTTACCTTGGAGGCTTTGTTTTGTTTTAACCTGGTGAATTTAAGGCTTTAGAAACTAGCATTTTATCTAACAAAACTTGGAATGCCACAAGTTTCTTCCTTTATAAAATTAGGGGTATTGGTCAAGAGGAGTTCCCTGCTTCCTTCAGTTCTGATCTTTAGGACACTATTAGGTTTCTAGGTGGAATATCTTAATGGTTACCAATGTAGGCCTTGAGGTCCGTGGACTTGGTTTCTGGCTTGACCACCTAGTGGCTGTGTGACCTTGAGCAAGTTATTAATCCTCATAAGCCTTAGTTTTCCCACTTGTATGTTCTTGTGAGGAATAAATGGGATGCTTCTTATAAAGAAGCTCAATAAATAGCAGTCATCACTCCATCAGTTTTACCTCATTGTGCTCATATATATATATGGATTTCATAAAAAAAGGGGGGAGGGGGAAGTAAATTAGCTATTTTTTTAAAAAAATTCAAGAAATGTGAACATACTCAATGTCCTTTTCATAGTCGTTCATTACTGCCATCTTGCTTCCTGGGTGGCTCAGTGGTAAAGAATACCCCTGCAAATGCAGGAAATGCAGGTTTGATCCCTGGGTTGGAAAGATCCCCCCCCCCTCTCCAGATCCTTGCCTGCAAAATCCCATGAACAGAGGAGCCTGGAGGGCTACAGTCCATGGGGTTGAAAAGAGTCAGACACAACCGAGCGACTAAGCACACACATACATAGGTGGTTACAGGTTGGCTCCAATCAGCTTTGACACAACTTCCAGCCTGTGTCGTGTGATACTGTAAAGTTCATCCCGACCTCTTGCAAAACTGGTGGCAGGCATCACTAACAGACTCCTGAGGCAAACAATTATATTAAGACATTTTAGGGATCAAATAAAACACCTAGAAATACAGCACAGCCGTCGTTCGGTATCCAAGGGGGATTGGTTCCAGAATCCCCACAGATATCAAAATCTGTGGATGCTCAAGTCCCTTATACAAAATGGTGCAGTACTTTCATATAACTATGCAATTCTCCCCTATACTTTAGATCATCTCTAGGTTACTGATAATGCCTACCACAATGTAAATGCTCTGGGCTGTGCTCAGTTGTCAATTGTGTCTGACTCTGCAGCCCTTTGGACTGTAGCCCACAAGGCTCCTCTGACCATGGGATTTCCCAGGCAAGAATACTGGAGTTGGTTGCCATTTTCTTCTCCAGGGAATCTTCCCAACCCAGGAATCAAACCCACATCTGTGTCTCCAGCATCGCAGGCAGATTCTTTACCCAAGAAGCCATCAGGGAAGTTTGAAAATTTACATATCATTTACATTGTATTTACACAGTATTAGTATGTAAACGATATGTAAGTAGTTTCCAGCCTGGCAAATTCAAGTTTTGGTTTTTGAAACTTTCTGGAATTTTCTTTTTTTTCTGGTTACTTTCTGTGGTTGCTTGAATTCATGGATGTAGAATTCGTGGATACAGAGAACCAACAACTACATTGGTTCAGGAGATTTCTGAGAGACTCAGCCTTACCTGCTGATTCCAACGTCACGGGAAAGAGTCAGAGACTGCACAGAAGCCCTTTTACTTGTATAGTCAGCTTCTGATTTTAGAGCATCAGGGACCTGGACTGAGTCAGGGAGGGGGTGAGTGGCTCTTTCAGGGCCTGCATCATTGGCTGGTGGAGGAGCAAGCCCTTGCAAACGAAACTACCAGTGACCACCTCCTTGTCTAGCCCAGGCCTTGCTTTCACATTGTTCTTCTGAAGCATTTTTTTCTTTCACAGTACTCACAAACACATGAAATTCTTGAATAGTCACTATTTCTGAAGAACACATTCAGGAAGCAGTGACTTCATCCACCCATTCATACTCTTGCACTTATTGCTTGTGTAATTTTTGGAACAGCAAGGAGATCAAACGAATCAGTCCTAAAGCAAATCAACCCTGAGTGGTCATCGGAAGGACTAATGCTGAAACTGAAGCGCCAATACTTAATACTGAAGCAAGACCGCAGGTATGAGTGAGGGGTCGCAGCTGCACTTACAGGAGGGAATCTGCAGTGGAACAGGCCAACAGTCAGGGAAATCCTCCCAAGAACACGTTACTGTGAGTTCCTTGACTGGCCCCTGTTCTAAACCCACCTCACTGTGGTTGGTAGACTGCAGAAGCCAAGGGCGTCATCACCTGTGAAAAGACTTAAGGGTGTATGTGCTGCTGTGCATTTGCATTTCAGATCTAGCAGGTGATTTAGGCCTGATATGGCTAACAGTAGAATTTTCCTCCTTTTCTCATTTCTGTATCACCAATGAAGTTTTTTTGTTTAACTTTTTAGTCTTCACTACATTATAACTGTATCCTTTCTCTTAAAGTGCTCTGGAGGTCTTTGAAGTGGTTTGGAAAAGGAAAGTTGATATGCAAAGAACAAATCAAAACAAGTATCCTCACTCTCATTATTTTATTGAACTATTTTTGGGCTAAGTAAAGAAATAGTAAGAATAGACACAATTCACAGTGAAATTTGTTTTAAAACTTGGAAGTGCAGAAGGGAGTTTTTTCCCCCCTATCTTTTCATCTAAATTCAAGATGTCTGATGATCT